GTCACAGAAACCGGCAAATACTGATTATTGTTAACAGAGTCCATTTAAAGTAATCTAACAAATACCGTTTGATTTATTAATAAAGGCAGCTGTTTAAAGGCTGCAAGGGAAGTTTTAGTAGATTTCTGAGCTTTTCAAGCCAAACCATCAATCTTCCCGGCTATGGCGTTCCTCAGCTTTGTTTTCATTTTCGCATTTATTCTGGTTTCTACCATTACTCAATATGGTCGGTCCTCTCAACCTGGCGGTTTGCTCCGATCGGGAAACCGAGAATTTATGTACGGAAACTTTATGGCTGTTATTCAAAAACATCTCTCGACATCAGTTATCGCATCTTTTCTCATTAAGGACAAATATCTTTGCCCTTTCAAATGCATAGCTAAAAGTGAATGTTTTTCCTATAACCTGGCGGCATATCCAGATAATGGTTGGTACATTTGTGAACTGCTGGACACGGACATGTACAGAGCCGGAACGGAACTTAAGACGAATGTTTCTTTTCACCATTTTAGTCGACTGGTAAGTTTTAGTTCATCTACCATTCGGGAAATTCTCGTGACATTTTAAAATACTCAATTCTTTAAATGTGAAACCTAAAACTTTAAATGCATGATTTTTAGAAAGAAACACGGGTTAGTCTATGAACTAGTTAAGCCAACATTGGACCACTGGCGAACCTTCATTGGAGAAAACGTATAGTATAGATATCTATTGGAAGTAGTTGTCAGCGATTACAAAACTTTACCATGGACAATTTCGTAGATCAGGTCTTAATTTACCAACACACACACACACGCACACACAAAAAAACCAAAAAGTAGAGAAAGATGCAGTTGGACTTCCTCTAAAAAAAAGTAAAGTTCCTTTAAGGAGGCTCCATAGGGTTTTTGCTCAATGTTGGCGCACGCGCGCCCGTATGATGTTTCTCCGGATGATTTTTATGTTTTCGCTTTTTAAGGTCACTAAAAACATCAAAAGGCAATGAGAAAGGTTCAGAACATCGTTTGCTGTAGTAAATATGATCAAAACGACTTTTGTTATTAAGCTAAGGCTGCACGAAGGGAGGCGCTCGTCTACGATAATTTTGCTCTGATTTTCTTCAATTTTCTTCGGTGAAATGTCAAAATTTTCACAATTTGTGATTTCCATTTTGGAAATTTCTCAGTACTTTAAGGATAAGTGTTTGTTGCTATGCTTATTGTGACTAGTTCTGTGATAGGTGGAATTGGCTGGGTAGACTCAGTATGATTGGCTGCTTCAACTGTCTGATTGCAGCCAAGTGTCCAATGACAGTTGTATAGAAGTATTTGCGAAAAATAAAGCAGCTTTTGTGCCAATCACGTTTGAGGAAATTGTAATGGTTATGATTAGGAGAATTACCATACTCTGGGGAGGTACCAGATTATCAATAAGCAATTTTTGCGGATTCTTGTACCAGTTTTTTACGTCGACCTGTACAGCGTTCGTAGGAGATTTTGCGTTAAATCCAAGGATGTGGCAAACATGATTGAAAGGACGATCATCTGGTGAAAGAAATTCCTTGCCTAAGTATTCCGTTTGAATGGGCAGAGGGTAAAAAGAACTGAGGTGACCGACTGAATTGAATATCTCTATCTAGTAGGTGTTAGTCACTTAAAATCCTCGTTAACTACGCTCTTTCCACTCTATGGTAGATCCCTTCTTCCCAAAACGTTAGGTGCTTCTCTATTAATCTACCGTGTCTCACTGATGAGTGTTCCTGATACAGTAAAAAACACAGCTCAAGGCCCCCGCTTCTCTTTTTTGTGCAAAAACAGGAAAGATAAAATCAAGGGAAACGTTGTGTGCCAGCAACTTAAAAACGGTGGCCTTAATTTTATAAACTTTGGAATTATGGTGAAATATCTGCGCTAAGCATGGATAGGTAGACTGCTAAACAGTTCCAACGACAACTGGAAGGCCATACCGAATTACTCTTTTGACAAATATGGCGGCTTACCCTTCCTTCTTAAATGTAATTATAATACTGCAAATCTTGACAAAAACGTATCCTTATTTTATCGCGAATTGCTAAATTATTTCCAAGAACTAACTAAACATTAAGAAGAGAACAATGATAATGACCTCATTCTTTGGAATAATAGGAAAGTTATTAGAGAAAAAAACAATGTTTTTCAGAAACGATGGTGTAATCGCGGCATTCTTTTTAATAGCGATTTGTTAAATTCTGATGGAAATTTTCTGACGCTTGAAGAATTTCAAAATAAATTCGATATTAAGGTCAATTATTCGCATTATTTTCAATTAATTGCTGCCATTCCCTCAGATCTGAAAAGAAAGGCTCTTGACTCTCCTTTCCCTGATCTACTCTGTGCACCGTCAGAATACTTTCAGTTGGAAGATAGAACAAACTATATAACAAACTATTTAGTTTTAACTAAATTTCGCTGTAAAAATCATTTTAAACTGTTTATTGAAATACTTGATACTGAACCCTCTGCAATAAGGTCTTGCAAGAAATATTTTCCAGAACTTCCTGATTGGAGCAACTGTTTTGTGGATATATATAAGTCTTCGAAAGTTATGCACAGAATAATTCCTACCAAGAAAGAACTGATGAAATATAAATTGGCCTCTGATGACAAGTGCCCTCTATGTTTTAATCCAGACTCAACTGAACACACTTTAATACATTCTCAAGAATTAACTGATTTCTTTATGTAAACTTTAGGATGGTTTAATGATTTTCACAAGACTAAGATAAAATTCTTAAATATACAAATTGTATTCAACACGTTTGAAGACTCCTCTCCATTGGAATCGTCAAAGTGTCTTAAAAGCAGACTACGTCTTCTGTTTTTATTGCAAAAGAAAAATTTGTACACCTGTAAGAGCATTACAAAGAAACCAAATTATGATGAATTCGTGAGCAAGTTATTCGAACAGTGCCGTATTGAAAATGGCTGCAGTTCTTATTAAATATATGTGGCGACTGACAAGCTTTTAATTTGATGCCTGCTTTTTCTTCTTTTTTTCTTTTGGTGTGAACTACGTCTAATGGTTATAAAATACATTTTGTTAATTTGTTCTTTTTTATTGTCGGTTTTAAATTTATTTTTACATGTTATTTTGTTTGTTTTTTTTCAATAAGGTTTTGTTTATCAAAAAAAAATCTTCGTTAACATTTTGCATAATGCACGTATTGTATAAGTCTATGTTCCTTGTCTCTAGTAATTGTAGTGCTATATATTTGAGCATCGAAAATAAATTAATATCTTTCCGTGAATTAAAAAAGAAAAGCTGGGTAAGCATCAGAACGTCGTTATAGACTGATCATATGGAAATCATTGCATGTAAACCGAAAAAGTATCATATGTATTTGCATAATGTCTTTTTTCGTCCATTGATGGCTGTTGTTTGTTTAAGAAAGGTTCGAATCATCATAAGATAAGGAGAATTCAACAGATACAAAAAAATTAATGACTTTTCAGTTGAGCTGCAGCTAAAGAAATTACAGAAAAGAAGGCTGACACTTCGGGAAATGAACTCGTGCTTCCCATGAACTAGTTGGGCGCTTCTACTAACTGAGATACGAGGCCTCATATTGAGAGGCGAGGTGTTAGTCTTCCGTGAGAAATCACCATCATCCCTACGCATGTTAGCTCCTCGCACTGATGTGAACCAAGGCTTGTGTTGGACGTAATCGTCGCGGTTTTGTCGTATAAGCGAGATACTTCCAACTGATATACGAAGCCCCGTGTTGAGACTGGGGCGTTAGTCTTAATTGATAAATCACTATCATCCCTTCGTATTTTAGCTCCACTCCTTGATATGAACCACAGCTTGTGTTGGACGTAATCATCGCGGTTTTGTCGTTTTAAGTGGCTCTACTGAGAATGAACGATTTTCTTGTTCTTAGTCTCCCTGCTCAAGTGGGCCATGTCAGAACAACGGAACTTGTGTACCACTGTATCAAACAAATGGCTATATTTGTCGCTGTACGAGATCGTACAGAGGAAACCATTGTGAAAACAGTAAGTTGAACTCTCTCTTCTTATCATTAAAATTGTTTTTTAAACTTCACCAGGACAAGTGATGTAGCCAGGGTAAAACTTCGCCTCCAAGTAACACGACTAGTCTTCAGATTGCTAATTGAAGGGTTAAAATAGCAGAACACTCTTTACTTGTTATTTTTTTAAATTTTTATATCATCAGTCATAATCATAGAAAGTCTACAAATATGATTTTTTCGTTGGCGCTTTTACAATTCCTTTTGTCACCGAAGGCTTCACGAGGCCTTCTTTGGTAGGGATCGTTGCGTGACATCATAAAAAACGGCAGCGAAGGAGATTATCAGAGTTTCCGGATTCATCTACCAGTATATGCTAAGTACACCGCATACTCGACTACGATGTACTCAAATTTAGCAGTTTTCAATTGACTGTTAATAAACCAAAACCAAAGTAATTGCAATTACTATACATAGAAAAGATTAAAATCGTCAAAAACAGACAACAATACTTGTATCACCATCCCAATCAATCAGATGCAAAATTTAAACCAACTCCATTTCGAGCCTTCGCATTTTCCAGCGCTTCAAGCTTCTAGACCAATCACAAGGCAAAGTCGAGGCAACATTAACGCCATCGGGGATCTCTTTCAATACTCAATTGAAAACTTCCTGCAAGACAATCGCTTATATGAAGAAAGTCTTGATAAAAATCATAAAGATACTATTAAGGTATTTAAAGATTATAAATGATTTTGAATGTTTTATTGTTTTATTAACCTTTGTCTTCATCCGTTTAATAGCAGTCGATCACAACTGCAGTTGTTTATCAGGGCCAGAGGGGAAACAAATGTGCGATATAGGTAAGTCAATGTACATTCCTATCAATAATATTCTTCGTACGATATGCTTAAATAATAAGCGAAAAAGTAAACCCTTCCCATTGATTGGTGCTGCTCTAACACAACCATACTAACAAAGTTTTAGCGACAAAACCGTGCTTTTATTCCAATAAATTACAGCTCTAAGTGGGAACAGCTAAAGCTACATCAAGATGCACTATTAACAGAACCTGGTGACAGTTTCCACCACGTGTGCTTTAGTGTTTCTCCATCATTCTATGGTTTTATTGCCTAAGCGAGATAAAGAAATTGGTGCTCTCTTATTGATTAAGAATAATACCATCTTACTTTATGACCACCCCGTATAAAGTTATCATATTAAGATGATTCCTCAGTATTGCACTGCGTATCCTGAACTCCTCATAATATCGTGCAATAAGGGAAATAAGTAGGGGCGCATTCCGAGAACATGATATTATTTTTTCAATCAATGGGCGAGGAGAACAGGCACGATGGTGTTTTGCTCTTGAACGAGCACGGTGGCCTATGTGTTTTATTTAGGGATTTCGGTATACGAATTATTCCATTGAATAAAAAAATAATAATAATAAACGAATTAGCGGAAAGAAAGATAGAGCAGTAAGCGTGCACGAAGCCCGGTACTCGAGGATGCAAATTATGACCATGAAAGCGAGGACTTGAGGAACGTTTTGAGTCGATGTCGCTAAAAATTGAGTGATTTTTCCTTAAATTGTATATTTCATTGTTACGTACGCTCGAGACTTTCTACCTATCAAGTATTATTTTAACCCTTGCCTCCGACTACCGCAAAATGAACGGTGAACCGATGAAATAACATTAGTATTAGTATCAGTGCAGGCATAAATTGGGTAAGATTTTCCCATCACAACTAGTTGGCAGGCATGGTAACCTGTCTTTTTTATTGTCGTTCTCGAAGCAGAGATTTCTGGAGAACAATCAAGGAAAGCTTCACAAAATATGGTTCGATAACTGTTATTTCTGAGGAATCACCTTGATGCGGAAGCTATTATTTTGACTCAGGTTTTCGCGAGATTCTTTGATAATTCTGTAGAAAGAAGGGAAGGGAGAGCGGTTTCACTGGTTAAGCACCCAAGTTATTCCGTCTAAAGGGTTTTCGCAAAATCGCTCTTGAAAATAACTTTCGCACCAATAATGACCGAATTTTAAGTATTTTCAAGTGCAAAAGGATGCTGTTTCTGCTTCGTAAAAATCGTTCATTTTAGGTGCAAATTGTAGATGCATCTATAATTTTCAAAAAGCCGTGCGTTGATATAGAAGCAAGCTCTTCTTAAACTCAGAAAAGTGAGTTTTATGAAGCCTAGTGGGCCATTTTGGCCCTTCTTCCATAATTTAGAGCGTTTAAATTTGCCGCTTTATCGCTTGTGAATAATTAATGATGTTCCCGCATTCTGCCCGATGCCCTTTCAACTTTTTCTTATAGGATACTTACTCGTATTTCCTGCGCCGCGTTCCATTGAAAACTATGCCATGAAATATCCAGCCATACCATCGGACCTCAGCCAGTTATCGCTGTGTTTTTTTGTAAAAGTTGTTACAGACCAAAAACTGCAATCTATCTTCAGCTATGCCAAACTCGATGAAAATGATATTTATGCCGAAAGTTATCCAACTGAGACAGCTCTCGGCATCAATGACAAACATGGCAGGTAATTCTTATTTGATTTTTTTGAAAATCGGGTCAATGATGAAACTTAATTCAACCCTTTTCAACAATTTCTCATTACCATGACCATTCTCCAATATGGTCACGAAAAAGGGGATAAGATTCGTACGATTTCATTTAGCCATCACTAAATGCCCCAAGAGAGCGGGGATGGTGCGGTGGTGAAAGCGCTCGCCTCCCACCCCTGTGGCCTGGGTTCGATTCCTGGACATGGATTTCTCATTTTTCATTTTGTTTGGGAATGCATTCAGACTTGCCCCGGTGTAAGAAAAACAGTTCCGTTAGTTGTCTGTTTTAGCAACCGGAAGACATCTTTAAAAGTAGGTTGGAGTCGTACCATTTATAATTTTAGACATCCCGTGAGAGCATTTTGTTTGCTTCTCCTCTCCTTAAAATTGGACCAGCTGAGTTTACTCAAACATAATTATTTCTTCGTAGGTGGGGAGGGAGGGTGGGTGAACGGGTGTTAGGATGATACTGGAACAAATTAAGCGATGGATGATTCAGAAAGAAACAGACTGGGCAGTAAATGAAGAAAATATAAATCACTCATTTCATGAATATGAATTTTCTTTAGTTTCAATGCTTCGGTCTATGATGGTGCCTGGCATCATTTGTGTTTCACTTGGGAAAATACTTATGGTCAACTCAAACTGTATAAAAACGGTCAATTTGAAGGCCAGCATATGGATTTTGAAGTGGGATATACAGTCCGATCTGGAGGTCATTTAGTGCTCGGGCAAGATCAAGACACCTTTGGAGGAGGTTTTCATCTGGAGAACACACTGAATGCCCAATTGGCTGAGGTCAACATGTGGGACCGGGTTCTGTCCAAAAAAGAAATTGCTGCTCAGTACACAAACTGCAGGATACCAAGTGGTTCCGTTGTCACCTGGTCCGAATTTAAAACGCTAACCAATGGCAGTGTGATTGTCAGACACTGAAGAACCATAACCTCTTGTTCGATGAACGAAACACTCAATCAAAAGTCTGACATGCCTGGAGTAATATTCGTTTTCATAGTGTCATTGAGGTGCTGACTGGATTCTAGGGTATATTTGCATCAAACATTCTCACGTGTGCGCATTATTAAGTCTAAGTATTCACTTTTGTTTTCGGAAGGTATCGTTATTTAGTTATCTATATCTACTTATTTATTCACACAAGTTAAACTCAGAAACTTAATGCCTGAGGTTTAGGCGCAAATTTTGAATCTCCTTACGGGTTTACTGAGTCAGCAGAAAATCCCTTTGAAGTTATTCTTATCATTGTACAAGTTATAAATTTCAATTTTGTTGTATTATATTTTCTCGCTCAAGAAAATGACTGAAATTTACCCAGAACTCCGTTTCCTGTACTTCGCGTTTTGTTTGCACACGACAAATAATTAGGCGTGTATGGGTTGATCACTTACGCAAAATTCGCAATTCATGATTTGCTATTTCTAGGTCTTCCTGAGATTTCTTAAATCACCAGTAATTAAATCACCAAAAATTACTCAAGAGAGAGATAACCTTTTAACGATGAAGACCTCCACGGTTATTATAGTCCCTTAGGTTGATCCTCTCTCATTTCAGGAGATTTCCTCAATTTTAGAGCCATTAGATTTAGGGCTGAACCCGTAAACAGGTTATAAAGTTGGTATCTCGAGGTGCCCTATGGACCCTCAACAGGTTGTGGGGTAGATTCGTATGTTACTTTTTTTTGAAGCTAAAAATCGTTCTGTTATGCGTGTATGTTGTTGTAAATATAAGCTTCCAGAAATCTCCAGACTGCTTCGTTATGCTGACATGCGTACTGTGAAACTTTCTGGAACATTTCATCTATTCACGCAGTTATTAAGTAATTCTATTAAAACAATTCTTTTGTAAGCTTCTGGAATATTCCGGAACACTCTGTAGATGTTTATAAGGACTCAGTTATTTAGTAGTTGTTGTTGTCGAGAGTGACCGACTGTTTAGAAAGCTCTACCGTGAGAGAGAGCTACAGTGGAAGATTGCTAATTCAAGAAACGTTGGAGGAAACTGTGAGTTCGGCTCAGTGGTGAGCTAAGATATATACTGTAGTGGGCTCAAGTAAGTTTACCGCGCATAAGTACTGTACTGCCTTTAGGAGTCTCTCCTTATTAAGAATATCACTCGTTGTTTAATAGCGTAGTTGAGTTTGTAGCATTGTGGTGCTTTTCTGTCGGTTAGATTATACTGTAACAGTTAATGATTAAAGGACAACAAATGAACTTTTTCTCGGTTAGTCATTCGAATGTCTTTTTCGCCTTCTTCGACCCTATGTGGTTTTTATTTTGCCTCAGCCATGCCATAGCTTTGACAATGGTCTTTCCTCTATAAATTGTTCCCTATGAACAGTTATAGAAATTAAATTAGAAGACAAACTAAAGGTATAAAGGTTAAGTGTGTACTGGAGCCTATTGGCCCACTCAACCGGAGCTTATCCCGGTTTTCATGGGGCATGAAGCGAAAAGGAGTATTATTACTGCTTCTTGGATAGGGTGCAAGTCCATCGAAAGGCTACCCTCGGCATTTCATCAGACTTCCCCAAAAATTCGCCGGTACCCATTTATACTCCGGTTCGGAGAGAGGCAGTGTGAAAGTGAGGTGTTTTGTCCAAGGCATGCAGACGGTTCACCATAAGAGTAGAATTCTGAATTTCACTTTTATTTCACAACTTTACAATGTTTACAACATCAAGAGTCTATTAACGCCGCGTAGTCGTAAGCTGCTTTACATGTGGGTCGATAATAAGCTTTGAGACAACCAACCTTACTTACAAGTTACGTAACTTATTCTGTTTTACATCTACTGAGTTTTTCTCTCTAAAATACTGAACATTCGCACGAAACGGTTTTCAAAGGTAGAATCTTACCTTAAGAATAATCTCTTAACAAAATTCGGAGAAGGATCTACAAGTTAAAACAAATTAACAGAATCATAATAATTAGGAATCGCATGCCAGAGACAGGATTCTGCCACCTTTTATATTTTTTGAGAAAGGATGAAATTTCTTCGATAATCGGAGTCTTTTGTTTGCTCCGACTGAACCAAATAAATTGGATTCGTATTGGTCTTCGCGGGAGTTTGACTTCAGACCCAAAGGATCTAAGACGTCTGGGTTATAGCCTTGCAAAAACCTTTGATCATGTCATACAACTAGGAATCATGCGGTTTTAGTCCACTGGTAAGTTGTAACTCATCTACTATTCAGCGACTTACAAATGTTCGCAGTACCTGGAAATTCTCTTGATATTTTAATTTACTGCATTCTTAAATGTGAAACCTATAACCTTAAATGTAGCTTTTTAAAAAGAAACGCGGGTCTGTCTATGAACTAGTTAAGCCAACATTGGACTACGGGCGAAACTTTAGAGCTTAGATGGAGAAAACGTAATGCAGTATATTGAAAGTAGTTGTCAGCGATTTAAAACTTCATCATCAACAGAAAAACACACATATAAAAAACAAAAAATAGAGAAAGATGTAATCAGACTTCCCCTGAAAAAAGCAAAATTCCTCCAAGGAGGCTCCATAGGGTTTTTGCTCAATGTTGGCGCACGCGCCAGCGTAATGTTTCCTAAAAAATTTTTGTTTTCAGAAAGAAGTATTTTCAAATAAAAGTTAATGAATCAGGAAGGTGTCAAAATCTCGTACGTGATCTTTCGTAAAGACCGATCATCAAATATTCAAGCTAGGCTGCGCGTTGGTGGTGGAATTGCCATCATACTCGTGAAGATCTAGATGGAAAAAGAATGCCAGACCTCGAATTGCATAGAATAGAACAACTGTACCTTAACTTTACCCCGAACTTAAACAACATCGATGCACCCCCTCACTCTTATCTTATTTGTATCGTCCCCCGAAAACCATTGATTTTCTTTGAATATATCACACAGTTAGTAGAGCGTATCTCTGCTGAAGCTAAGGAAACAAACTTTATTAGAGACTTTAATATTGATATCTACTACGACGAGTAACCCTAATTCAAGACGTTTATAGCATTTAATGGAAAAATTTTGTCTACACTAGATGATTGATAACCAACATGTATTGCTGAGCAATCAGAAACTATTCTCGATCATCATTCCAATGTTCTAAACTGTAGCATCCAATCTGGTATCTGCCCTTCTGCCCTTAAACTAGCACGAGTTACACCAGCTCATAAATCTGGACCAGCTTCTGATCCGAATAGTTTTCGTCCGACTTCGGTTCTTCTAATCATTTCAAAGCTACTTGAAAGACACATATATACTCACTTAATGCTATACCAACGTTCATTTAATCTCATTGTCTCGACGCAATCTGGATTCCAACCTCATCACTCAATGGATTAAAATGACTGATGATTGGTAAGAAGCGATAGACCAAGGCCTATATACCAGTGCGATCTTCCTGGATCTACGCAAAGCCTTTAATGTGGTGAATCGTGACCTGATAATTAACAAACTGCAAATTCATGGCTGCTCTCCTTCATCTCTACTTTATTTTAAGAGCTACCTTACAGACTGTCGTCAGTGTGTGAATTTTAAAGGCACCGTATCTGTTACCGAAGTATTGCCTTTTGGTATTCCCCAGGGTTCGATCTTGGGTCCTGCGTTTTTCCTCCTGTTTCTCAATGACATACCGCTCTCCTGGGAAAGTAGGAATGGCTTATTTGCTGATGATGCCACTTTCTAGGCCAGTACCACAACTTAAACTGACGTTCAGCTACAACTCCAGCGAGATCTTGATAGAACGGCGATATGGACTAAAGATCATGGTACGGTAGCCCACCCGGAAAAAACGAAATACATCATTATTGGTACTAGACGGAAACTGTCCCGCTGCGAAGAAAGTGCATTCACACTATTCTTAGACTAAATAACTTGAGCAAGCTCGAGAGGAACGCCTCTTAGGTCTGAATATTGACCCCACCATTTCTTGGTCAAGCCATGTAACAAATCTGAGGAAGAAACTTTTAAAGCGCGTTGCTGTTCTGGTCAGCATTAAAAAATTCCCGCCAATTGAATATCGTATAATTCTATTAAATGTTAGTATCAAACCCATTCTTGAGTACTATGTATCAGTTTAGGCAAGCTGTAATGCAGGACTACTGGATAAAGTTTTTAAAGTTCAAAAGCGATGTGCGCTTCTTATCCTCGATGCTCCCTTCCAAGCTAGAACCTTACCGTTATTTTATAAACTCGGATGGCTACCTATTAAAGGCCCATTTCCAACCTTGATGCAACGCGGTGGTTTGTTTTTTTTTGGAACCACCGCCTTTGTTTAAATAGCGCCTCTGATTGGTCAGTTATTTTTACCTTGTTACGTTGTCTCAATATACCTACTGCGTTTCCTTCGATAAGTTTGAAGAGCTTGTCAAAATAATTGTGTTTAAAACAGTTCTATACACGCTTTAATCCTTTATGGAATCAGATGAATCCATTGATTTAGTAGATTCCGAGGCTGTAAACGCTTACGGATCGGTTGTTGTTAAGAAGGAACACGAAAATCCTTGCGAGCATTTCGAAGAAGGTGAAAATGTTGATCCACCACGTTTTCATTCATTCATCAATTTTTTTAAATTGAAGTTTGCCATCCTTGTTAAATAGGACCAAGGGTCAGTTGAAGTTTCCTGCCCGTGGAGAGGAGCTTGCAATCGAGGTTGTTGTCCATGCAAAGCAACAGATAAGAATCATAACGCAAACCGTCAGTGTCGCTGACGTTCCAGCAATAAAGTGACTAAACTTAAAATAATTAAACGTCTGGTAGTCCGATATTTTTCCATATTTCTCTTCGAAATCAAAAAAAATATTTATACGAAAATGTTCTACCTTTATTTACAATCCTCAAACGATTCTAGGCAGCCTAAAATTTCGAACTTGATGTTTTTCGCTGACCCTGTATACAGGTCTCTTTGAAAAATACCTATTTCTATTGGAAAATATTTTATCTTC